TGACACTTTTTTTGAAGAGACAAAATTATAAGGAACATAACTACCTAAATTAGATTTGTTATTGCATATAAAAAATTCCAAATTGTTCTAATGGAAATGAAATAAGGATTTTTAAAAATCTATTTCGGTGGCATATATAAACTAGAAACATAATATAAAACCAAAAAAGCTTATCTGAATTTGCTACAATATACTATATCAAAAGCATCTAGACTTCTGGCGAAATCTTATACTCCCAACCGTTGTCAAACACAAATTAATATGCTTTTTTTATTCAATTGTATAATTTAAAGGTAGAGTATATATAGATCATTTATATAATATACATGGCAATTTTTTTTTGTATAATAGATTATATAGTAAGCACAAATCTAATTGGGTAATTACCTGTTTTAGAAATATTTTACTATGTCTTTTTTGTGTAACCCCAGAAAATGTGAGAAATCCCTAAGAACTTTACGACATATATATGTCCATTTTTTAAAAATAATATAGTCCCCGAAAGTTTTACTACTATAAATAGAAGGTTTGATTTGTATATTACAAAATTTTGGTAAAATTTAGCCATGATTTTGAGAATTTTTACTAGTGATGTATTTTAATTTATACTGAGATCATATGATAAATGATCAATGTATACTCTACCCTTAATAAACAAATAATTATGATATATCGAAGTAAAATTTGTAATTCGTAGTATTTTAATAAAGTTTAATCATAAGCAAATCTTGATAAATTTTAAATCCGCCAGAATACCTCCCTCTACCTTATCTAGTAAAAAAATCCTTTTTATAGCGAAGTGCACCTTTTTTCTTCACAATAAAATATATTGCATTTAGAGTAATTATTATCATGCGTTATAATTAGATCTCTTATAAGTGCACATTTTCTATAACTCTGCGACCTCCCGACTACCTCGCCCATATTTCATATTTTTGATATCTTCCGAACTTTTCCGAAACTTTCCGACGTTCCTAATTATATTACCTGGCCCAAATTAAACATACGCTGCTCTTAATTTGCCCCAAAATTCGCTGCTGTCAAAAATCATATCTATATATATGAATTTTTCCGTGTCCGTAGACTTACTTTTATAGTAAATCATATGTCCCCGTGACTTGATTTTCCTAAATTATATAAAATTTTCAAAATTTTAACTTAGTTTTTAAGCCAAATTTTTTCTTTTGTTTTATCTTTAGTTAAAGTTTATATATATATAGTAAATTTACATATTTTTATTATACTTTTTATTATACGTATACCCCTTTATAAAAAAGAATATTCTGTGCCTAATATATAACTGCTCAATCATTTCGATTAACAACAAGAAATGCAGATTTTAAATCTTAACCAATCAGTACAACTTTTAAAGAGGTTTTTTTGACTTACGAACTTGTTTTTCTAGCCAATCAGATCCTTTATAGTTCATAGAGGAACTTAAATAAGTCAATATTAGCATATCAAGTTATTCAGAGGATCAAAATGTATTAACTCGAAAGTTTTCATATGAATTAACTTTTTATTAATATATTTTTATTTTTTTTATGTCTTACAAAATATTAAGAACCAGGTTTTAAAATTTGGTTCTAAACCAAACCTAGGTTTGGAACCTATTATATAAAAGCCTGATTCTTAGTTTTTGATTTGGAACCTGAAGGTTTTAGAACCTAAACCAAATCTGAACTAACTTCACAATCCCTACATCAGACATTTACGATTATTATTTTTAGAATCGGTTTGTAGCCATATCACCACGTACACGACTATAGTCAGGGAGGCATTCAACTAGAATAAAATTTAAACAATATTAGTAATTAAATAACTTTGTGAAGTTTTGTAAATCTTACTTCAAGTAAGGTATACCTGGCCCAACACCAACTACTGCGACATCTCTATCCCATATGTATTCGCCCGCGCAACGACGAACATCACTGGCCGTGATATTGGATACAATAGATTCAACTTCCTTCGGACTGTGTCTCTTGCCTGTTGTTATTAATTGACGTCCTATATCTTCAGCGATGGCCGTTGTACCATCGAGGTTCAACAAAAGCGAAGCTTTGAGTTGTTGCTTAGCACGTTCTACTTCTGCCTCTGTGACTGATGTGTGCAACCTTAATTAACCGAATGTTATAAAATGCACCATTTGTAAATTGGCTATCTTAATGTTGAAAATAATTAATCCTAATTATATATTATCTAATTTCCTAACCTCCATAATTCTTTACAGGCGAAATGTACCAAGTCGTCTAGTTGTGTTTTGTTTTCAGAAACAAGATAAATGCCAAACAATCCAGTATCGCTATAGCTTGTATTGAATGCATGGTAGGAATTTGCGAGATGGTGTTTATAAACGATGTGAGAAAGACGAGACGAAGCATGAGGGGCAGCACCAAGAGAGCGATCCCATGTACCAATTACAGCTTGGGCAACAAGCATAGTATAATAATCGGGCGATGTCCATCCAACGCTTTCAACAGCAAGGGCTATATGGGCCTGTGGTAATTCATCATTTCTGACTCGAACTTCGGAACCAGTGAACGGAGGCTTTTCGACATATGGAGAGAATAAGGCATTTGACGATGCAGGGAGAGAAGAAAAATGCTTTTCAGCCAATTTAACAAGTTCATCATGTTCAATTCCACCGGTTCCTACCAAAACCATGCGGTCAGCGGTATAATTCTTGGCAATATAGTCGACAAGATCTTCTCGTTTAAGCGAGAGAATATTTTCCTTAGGTCCAAGAATGGTACGGCCCAATGAATGTCCTGTTAAATTATGTATTGGCACGGCCGATTTGAAGCGATTTAATCGAGTCCCAATGAAATCACCAATTCCATTTTTAGAATCCCGTACATTTTGTATAAAATGTAATATCTATAAGTCATCAAAGATCTGAAAGCAGAGTTGATTCAAACCTTGGAAGGCTGTAGCGTGCAAGTGGTCGAAAACCACTTCATCAAGAAGCTTATCTACTTCTTCTTGTTCTCGCAAAATGACTTCTCGCTCACGTTCAATAGCACTTTCTTCCAACGTGGAATTTTGCAGAATATCGGACAAAATTTCAACTGCGGATGCAGCATCATGTTTAAAAGTCTTGGCGTAATATACAGTTTGTTCTCGAGATGTATAAGCATTTAAATGTGCACCAATATTTTCAATAAAAAGTTCGAGCTGGTGTTGGCTACGGTTTTTTGTCCCCTAATTTTCTTGTAAATCGTAAAGATATTCATATAATAAATTTGTATTAATGAATTTTTATGATTACCTTGAAAGCCATATGCTCAAGGAAATGCGCTGCGCCGTTGTTTTTTGAATTCTCAGCCCGACTACCAGCGTCGATCCATACTCCCACAGTGGCTGTTTGTGCGTATGGGTTAGTCTCAGTAGCGACAGTCAGCCCGTTGGAGATTAGTGTGGAACGAGTAATTGGCTGGGACAAAGTAGTCTCGCTGACAAAAGGACGAGAAAACTGTATGCGAATGTAAAAAAGCATTTCATAAATCAATTGTCGAAGAATGCATATTTACAATCCATAAAAATTCAGTCATTATAATCTATGATACAAAGTTTTAGTTTTTGATACCTTTCTTGTCAAGCCACGACCAACTTGACGTCCCAAAGCTTTAGAAAACATTAGTCGAGAGGCCATTTACTGGCAAAAGTCTTTTTGTTATCAAAGCGAATGCGATTATCTCTGTTATACAGATACTATTTGATTGGTAATTTGTGAGTCACCTGAACTACTGCTTCAATTATTTTTGAAGATGCTTTTATTGCCAGGTTTGTGGCGCAGATGTCCTGAACTACGAATCAGATTTCAAGATCAGGTGTAACGTAAAATAAACGTCCGTTTTGTCAGAAATCGCCCATTTTTGAAAATCTGCATAGAAAACCACCTTTAGTGCTTTAACAAAAAGTTTTCGCTAGACAATTTTACTATATAAACACCCCTAACCCAAACATAAACGAACTTCGAATAATTTTTGCTGCGCCATAAACCTGGCACACATTCAAGCAAATCGGTATGATGTTTGTGTGATGTTGACTGTCAAATGCCGTTCTTATCATCATAATAAACATCACGTCAAACCGACGCTCTTATCAATAAAATGAAGTGCAAATACACTGCCGTAAGTTATATGATTTTTAAATTAGTTACTGTTATATATAACACATGCAAGTGCAAATGGGCACTTTTCAATAGAAAAGGAGGAAAAAGTTTTTAGTAACTTTTTTTAAAATTTAAATTTAATTTTATAATTTTATAGAATTAAAATAAAAAAAAATTATTAAATTTGGTTTAATAGTTGTAGCAGAGGTTTTTTTCGATTTTTAGCTGCAAAATCGTGCATCAGAGGTATGTCAAGTGTAACCCAGATTTGCATAAGGAAAGAATTCTTTTGTATTGCAAATACTAAGTGAAATTTTCTGATTATATATAATGATAAATTATCATTATTAGGAAATTTTAAAGCCTGATTATAATCAGTTGCAAAACAGTTAATTGATAATAATTAATTAGTTTTAAGCGATTATAACTGATGATAGTGTTGATAATTGATTTATATCAAAATTGATTTTTTTTTTTTTTTTTTTTTTTTTGGTGTTAAGATGGGATCTTGCCCATGACTTTATTTATTAATAATACTTTACATGTATCATCACATTTCCCAATATTACATATATCAAGTATATCAAGCTTAGACTCAGATTCTATTGGTAATCTATGCTCTGGTTGAAACTATTACTTGCATGATAGGTGTCCCCATCTCTACCGGCCACCAATCCAATTATCTGCGATCTAAACCTATCAGAGTGGCTATCATCATTAACATACTCATCTGATATTTTACCACCCTTCACAAGTCCTATTTTGGTACACTTTCCTATAATGTCATTCACCGCATTTTTCATACCACTTATATTTAAGCTTCCAAATTTGGTAGTCTCTTCTGAGATATGGCCTTGTAGCCTCAAGGGCTACTTCCAATCTTGGTTATCTTCAGCTAGTCTGCTCAGGTAGTATCACGAAGAGAAACTCATGCTGGCCCAGGTTAAGCCTCGTCATTAACGCCTAGTTTAGTTAGTATGCTGCTGATTCCCATTATCTTTATAGGTAGGTACTCCTGTGTGTTGGTGCAGGCTCGCTGTATTGCATTATAGATTACTCTATAACTTCCAGATTGCGGGTTTCGTATTACTTCTCTTCCATAGTTTGAGCTATAGTGTTCTGGTGCTTTGACGTTTTAGGTTACAGAGCTCTAAAGGTCTAGACCTAGTTGCAGCTTGTGGTCTGTAATACTTCCAATTTCAGTATTTGGTGTTCCTTATCAATTTCTAATATACAAGCACGATTTGTACAATTGTACTACCAGCCCGGTGAATCCAGCCATTTCAAGTTTTTATCATGTACCTCAAGTTTCAGTCTTCTCGCTCTGTCTTCACAGGTTTCTTCCTTAATAGGCCAAGTGGCTTGGAGCCAAAGGTGCTTCCGAACTCCGAATGGACCAATTCTTTACCACAAGTCATCCTCGTGTTCACCATTTTTCTCACTACTTCAGTTTTGTTACTGTCGTGTCACTCTCTCAATCAAGTATCCCAACCGCTAGGGATGTTGGTGCTGCCCTGGTTACCCCTAATCAGGACTAACATGCACAACTTTTCATATAACAGAACCTTCCAATTTTTATCTTGGTACGACTACAGTTACAGAGTCTTGAGTTTTCCCAGCCACGACGATAGTTGTCGAATCCGTTTTTCTAAATTCTATTTTTCACCTTCTGTGGGAATTGAACTTATACTCTACTGCTTGGAGATGCGACAAAGCTAATTTTTATTAAGTGTTTTAAAAATTATAATAGTAGCTATAATTAGGTATTTTGTTTTAATTTTAGATATTTGGTTGATGATTAACTTGATAGATTATGGATAATATTTTTAATCTGATTTATAATTTTATAAATATCTTAGAAATTATTATATTAACTATAATCTAAGAGTGACCTGCTAGATAATCTGTTAGGTGTTTTACCTGTTTTTATTTGAGTTGTCATAATACTATCTGAGTTACTTGCAAATAAACAGGTGATCTGATTAATTATCTACTTATGTCTAATCAGCAGTAAGAAATATATATATTAACTAATTTAAAAAATAAAGACAGCTAGCACAGAACTTCAAAAAACTTTAATACAACTCAAATTTAAGTTTGTATAATATCAGCTAAATAGGTATATAAAACAGACTAAAATTTAAAAATTTACTATATAAAAATACAATGTTTAATAAATTTTTATACAAATGTTCTTTTTTTAATAATATTTAAATTATATTAAAGTTTTTTAGAGTTTTGCTAATGCTCTGTTAATAATTAGAAAAGGTAAATTCTTAATAAATTGAAGATCTGATATGAAGAAAAAATAGCAAAAATAATTGCTAGATAGATCATATCTAGACGATAAAGTTAAGTAAGTTTTCTTTGTAAATAGAAATATATATCACTTAAACTATAGGCTTTTTCAGGCAAATTTGCCTGGAAAATTATCATAAATATTGTTATAATCTATTTTTTTTAAATTTTAATATATTTAAATAAAATTTTTTTAGATAATATTTGAAAATAAGGATTATATTATAGCAGTATTTAATTTTATATTATAAGAAAAAAAGTCTTAGTTACTTA